CCCCAACCCCAACCCCAAACCCTAAACCCTAAACCCTAAACCCCCCCCGACCTTGATGGTGTCAGTGATAACAACCTCCTCGAGAGCGCTCTTCTGAATGCGATCGATCGCGGGCCCCGAAAACAGCCCGTGAGTGGCGAAGGCGAAGACCCGGCGAGCGCCTTTGCTTTTGAGTTCGCGCGCGGCCTCCACGAGCGTCCCGGCCGTGTCGATCATGTCGTCGACGATGATGGCGTCGCGGCCCTCCACGCTCCCCACCAAGTCCATGCTTTCCACTTCGTTCGCCCGCACCCGCCGCTTTATCAACATCGCTATTGAACACTCCTTGTAACCCCGACCCACCATCCCCTCCTGGAACTTCCGCGCCCTGCACGCCACACTCGCCAAACCCTGTCCATTAGCCCTCCAAAGGGTCTTTTCGGGGCCTCCGGGGGCCCCCGGGGGGCCCCAGGGGGCCCCGGGGGGCCCCGGGGGGCCCCGGGGGGCCCCGGGGGGCCCCGGGGGGCCCCGGGGGGGCCCGGGGGGGCCCGGGGGAGCACAGCAGCAGCAGCAGCGGGGAGGGGAGGGGGCAACGGATGAAGCAGTGGCAGCAACTGCAGCAGGGATTGGGGCGAGAGTAGGAGCGGAAACACCAGCAGCAGCAGCAAGGGAACAACTGCAGCAGCAGCAGCAGGAGCAGCAGCAGCAGCAGCAGCAGCACCTGTAGACGCCGCCCGCGTCTGGGGAAACGACTACGGGCTTGTGGAGGTCTTTGGACTCGAAGTAGTCCAGCCCCACAATTTGGGCCTCGACGTTATCTACGGGAACGCGGGGCCCGAAGAAGCCCTGGATTTGCCCGCAGTGCAGGTCCACGGCCACCACGCGGTCCACCCCCATCGCCTCCATCATCCGAGCCACGTCCGCCTGCAGCAGCAGCAGCAGCAGCAGCAGCAGCAGCGGCAGCAGCAGCAGCGGCAGCAGCAGCAGCGGCAGCGGGCAGAGAGACGTTCAGGCCACGCGCAGCAGCCGCTCCACCGCCACACCCCTCCCCCCACACCTCCAATATGCCTGCAGCACCCCAGCAGCAGCAGCAGCCCCCCAGCAGCAGCAGCAGCAGCAGCAGCAGCAGCAGCAGGAGGAGCTGACTGCGGAGATGGGGACTCTGCTGTTCATCTTGCGGTCCTGGCGGGCGTAGCCGAAGTAGGGGATGACGGCGGTGATCTTTTTGGCGGAGGCGCGGCGGCAAGTGGAGACCATGAGGAGAAGTTCGAGGAGGTGGTCGTTGACTGGCGAGCTGGTGGGCTGAATGAGGTAAACGTCTTTGCCGCGGAGCGAGTCGAGGAACTGGATGTTGACTTCTCCGTCGGCGAAGCGGGAGACTGAGACCCGGCCCAGTCTCGTGGAGAGTCTCTCGGCCACTGCGGCTCCCAGCTGCTCGTTGGCGGAGCCTGAGAACAGCAGCGCGTCTCCCAGCTTCCGGGCGAAGGGTTGGCTTTCTCGCGAGCGCCACAAGGGGTTTTCCTGCGCTTTTTCGCACCCCGGGGGGCCCCCGGGGGGCCCCGGGGGGCCCCCGCCCCGCGGGGGGGCCCCCGGCGGGCCCAACGGC